TCTTTTTTATATTTATCATTATTGTTCTTATCTTATTAATCATATGTTATTATTATCATCATAATGATTTCTTTTATATTATATCATTATTATCATATGTTATTATTATCATCATAATTACTTCTCTTGTATTCATTATTATCATATGTTATTATCATTATCAAAATCATTTCTTTTATATTCATTATTATTGTTATCATTATTATCCTTATTTCTCTTTTATCATCATTTTCCGTTTTTTTCTTATTCCCGCAGAGAATGAGGCGGTGTGTGCGAGTTCGTGTCGCTTCACAGGTAAAGTGTCTGTCTGTTTGTTGACGTTTTCTCTCTCTTCTTGGCGTTTCTTGTTTTTCTTTATTTTTCTCTCTTTGTTATTATTATCATTATCAAATAGCATTATTATTATTGATTATCATTAGCATTAGCATTTTTGTTATTATTATTATTATCATTATCATTTTTGTTATTGTTTTTATTATTATTATTGTTGTTGTTATTATTATTATTATCAATATTATTGTTATTACTATTTCCATTATTATTATCATTGTTATTATTAACATCATTATTATTATGAACATTATCATTGTTATTGTTATTATTATTACTATTATTGTTATTACTATTTTCATTGTCATCATTTTTTATATTATCATCATTCATTATTGTTAGCACGATTATAATCATGAACGTCATGGGTATCATTATCATCATTACCAATGATAATTATCATCACTATCATTATCAATATCACTGTTACTATTATCATCTTTATAATTATTACTATTATCATAATCATCATTATTACTATCATCATCATCCTCATTATTAATATCACCATCCTCATCATTACTATCACCATCGTCATTATTATTATCATCATTATCATCATTATTACTATCATCACCGTCCTCATTATTACTCTCATCATCATCATCGCCATCCTCATCTTTATCATCACCATTATTACAATCACCTTCATCATTATTACCAATACCATCAGCATTACTATTAATACTATCACCATCATCACTATTACTATCATCATCATCAGTATCCTCATCACCATCATCATTATCACCATCATCATCATCACCATCATCATTATCACCATCATCATTATTATCACCATATTATCATCACCATCAATAATTATCATCATCACCATCATCATTATCCTCATCATCACCATCATTATCACCACCCTGTCCCCACCCCCAGGCGACGGTCGGCCGGGAGTCCACTTCGTCCCCGGTCACACGTACCAATTCCAGTACCAGGGCGAGGCGGTGACCTCAGCCAAGGTCACGGAAGGTCAGGAATCGAGGTTCTCTGTGAAGGCGGCGGTCAGCATCAGCGCCAGGAACCCGTGCGACTTGAAGATGGAGGTGAGGGGTGGGTTAGGGGTGGGTAGGGTGGGGTGGGGAGGGTGAGGATGGGTTAGGGTGGGGAGGGGTGGGTGAGGTGGGTGGGTAAGGGTGGGTGAGGAGGTGGGTGGGTAGGGGTGGGAGAAGGGTGGGTAGGGGTGGGGATGGGGTGGGGGGTGGGTAGGGGGTTGGGTGAGGAGGGTGGGTGAGGGTGGATGGGGTAGGGGAGGATGGGGGAGGGGTAGGGGGTGGTGAGGGTGGGGGGTGGGGGTGGGTGGGCGGGTAAGGGTGGGTGAGGGCGGGCGGTGGTGGGCGGGGGTTGATGGTGTCTCAGTGGGGTAAAAGATTGATACTTCCAGGAAGTGGGGTAAAAAAGAAAAATACAAAGACACATACACATACAAACACCACGCACAAACAAGACACACAGACACACAACACAAACACACACAAACACGCCCCACACAAAACAGATACACACACAAACAAACACACCCACCCCACAAACACACACCACAAAACAGACATACACACCAAAACACACACGCCCTCCCCCCCCAACTAAATAAATAAATAAGCAATTTATTTACCAAAAAATAACTCCCCATTTTCACAGGTTTCGGAAATCGGCGTGGAGGGAATCCCCGAGGACCAGATCGCCGGCTTCGTTGCTTCCGTCCAGACCTACGACCTCCACTTCAGGTAGGACGAAGAAGATCACAAAAGGGGTCGTTTTGTTAAATGTCATGAGTGTTATTAACCAAGTCAAGTGGGATTGGTGATATTATGATGTATTTTTATTAACCAAGCCAAGTGGGATTGTTGATATGAAAAAATCGTTTATTTTTGTATTTTTCTTTATGTTATATTATTAACCAAGCCAAGTGGGATTGTTTTATGAAAAAATCGTTTACTTTTGTTTTTTTTCTTTATGTTATGAGTATTATTAACCAAGTCAAGTGGGATTGTTGATATTTATGAAAAAAATCGTTTTTTATGTTATGATTATTATTAACCAAGCCAAGTGGAATTGTTGATATTATGAAAAAACCGTTTATTAATAATAATGATGATGAATAACAGAGCTTAATAAAATCACCAATAATAATAATAATAATACCGACTAACAATACCAGGTATACCAAAAACAACAAAAACAAACAAACTTTCTCACTTTTTCACAACCACCCCAGCTACCAAGATGCTAAAGAACAGAGGCAAGTAAAAACAGCAAAAAAAAAAAAAAAAAAAAAAAAAAAAAAAAAAATAGTAATGACAAAAAAGAAAGAAGAAGAAGAAGAAGAAAAAAAAAAAACAGGTATACTACCACCACCCTCAACAACAAAACCACTTCCTTACTTTTGCACAACCACCACAGAGACAAGAGTCAAATAAAACCACCAATAATGATAACGATTTGCACCCCAACTACAGCTACCAAAACGCTTAACACCATAAACACACCAGTTAAAACATCTCCATCCCCGCCACAACTACCAAACCGCTAAACCAAAGAACCATATAAAAAAAACACCAATAAAAACATGATCTTCATCCCTCCACAACTACCAAACAGCTAAACAACAGAACCATATAAAAACCACCAATAAAGAACATAATCTTCATCCCACCACAACTACCAAACCGCAAAACAACAGAACCATATAAGAAAACACTAATAAAAGAAACGATCTTCATCCCACCGCAGCTACCAAACCGCCAAACAACAGAACCATACAAAAAAACACCAATTCAAATATCTTTACCCCACCACAGCTACCAAGATGGCGAGATCGAGTACCTCTGCCCACACGAGAAGGAGGACCCCGCGGCCACCAACTTCAAACGAGGGGTTCTGTCGGCTCTCCAGACCACGGTGACCAAAGTGGACGACCAGACCGAAGTGGTGGTCAAGGAGGTAAGGAGAAGGACGCAAAGATAAATAGGAAGGAGGTATAGGGTGCTGGTGGACTGGAGAAGGACGCAAAGATAGATAGGAAGGAGGGAAAGGGTGCTGGTGGACTGGAGAAGGACGCAAAGATAAATAGGAAGGAGGTAAAGGGTGCTGATGGACTGATAGATGGATGGAAAGAGAGCTGGATAGGGTGGGTAGGTTGGTCGGTAGGTAGATGAATTGATAGAGAGGTGTATAGCTAGATAGGCAGGTAGGTAGGTAGAGAGACAGACAGACAGACAGACAGACAGACAGACAGACAGACACAGACAGGCAGGCAGACAGAGATACAGAAAAGCAGGCAGGAAGGCAGGTAGTCAGACAGGAAACTAGACATATAGAAAGACAGGCAGGCAGGCAGACAGACATACAGAAAGACAGGCAGACAGACAGACATAGATAACTTGATACGCGGATAGACAGATAGGCTAGGTAGATACGCTGATAAGTATTAGACAGAGACAGATAAACCGACAGGTAGGTAAATTAATTAATACGTAGGTAGATAGATAGGTAGGTAGATAATCGACCAGAAACAGTCATGCGTGACATGTCAGTCGTCTTGACATAATTTCCGATATTCCCTTGTATCAATGTGGATAAGAATTCAAGCAAAATGTGTATTTAGTTCCCTCACAGTGTACACGAATGGTAAGGGAAAAACGAACTAATTTCGCAATCAATGCTCTCACCTCCAAGACTTACTACATAGATTTCTTCCTATGTCAGATCATAAAAAAAAAAAAAAAAAAAAAAAAAAAAAATATATATATATATATATATATATATATATATATATATATATATATATATATATATATTCGCTGTGTACATATACAAGGTACCTCCATATGTATTAGAGCAGTGGTTACCGTCTAAATACCGACTAAAAATACCAGGTTGGACTCCCAATACCTGCCCTTCTTCAGGTAGTGGAGTCCTGTGCGTCCGTTGTTTCTTTCTTTTTTTCGTTCAATTATCATATTTTTTCCCATTTATAATGTTACCTTGTTATCCTGCAAGTACCATGTTATCCTGAAGCTATCATGTTCTTCAGGTGTCATGTTATCCTGCAGTTACTATTTTAAAACTACCTTTTCCATGAACCGTATTCATGTTGACAAATGTGGGTAAGGTATGAATGAGAACGAACATCTTCACAATACAAGAGATGTATTTTACCGGTTTCGATTATATCTTCATCAGAAATACAGTAAAATGCATCTCTTGTATTGTGAAGATATTCGTTCTCATTCATACCCTTCCACACATACCTTTTCCATCCTGTGGCCCCGACCAGTATATAATAATCCCTATGGCCCCGTTCAGTGATTCATCTTTTCAGATTCGGTTATTACTAGTTATGAACAGTTTAATGGTGTCAGTAGCTATAGCATAAAAAACACTTTATGAAAAGATTCCAGTTTTATAGATATGTGAGAGATAGTTATCTGTAGGTACTGTAAGTGCGAAAAAATAATTGAATTCGATGTCATGATATTAATGTAGGTCTATGGTCACCAGATTGGGAACCATTATGGCTTTGAATGACAATAACAAACCACTATTAAGCCAAAGAATGCGAATGCACTGATTCAATTGTCTGCAGCTGCTTTAGTAACTATATTATCACTGCATTGAAGTTAGATTTCACAACATTACTTACATCACAAGTTTATATAAAACTTTAACACTCCGACACAAAAGGTAAACATTGATTTACGAACTTTTTTTTCCGACGCCGAAGTCTGGGTTGTAACCTCGGATTCGCATCCTCTAAAAATCTCGACGCTCTGCCCTCGACTCACCACCTCCTTTTCTCCCCAAGATCGACGTCGGGGGAGACTGCGAGACGAGATACAGCATCCAGAACACGGGCAAGCTCACGGTGACGAAGAAGAAGGAGAACTGCCGCTCAACTGCCCATTTCCCTTATATTCCGCACGTTCGTCAGGCTTCCTACTCCTCCAGCGGCGACCTGCCCTTCTTCAGGTAGTGGAGGCCTTCTGTGCGTCCGTCCGGTCTCTCTCTTTCGTTTTGTTTAAGTTCTTGTTGTTCCTGTCTGTTTGTTTGTTCTGTTCTGTTCTGTCTGTCTCTTCTCATTCTGTCTCTGTCTCTCTCTTTATCCGTCTCTTTCTCATTCTGTCTCTCTCTCTCTCTCTCTCTCTCTCTCTCTCTCTCTCTCTCTCTCTCTCTCTCTCTCTCTCTCTCTCTGGCTGTATGACTCTCTACCCCTTTCCCTACTCCCTCTTCTTCCTCCTTCTTCCCCCTTCTTTCTCTTTCCATCTTCCTCTCCCTTTCCTTCCTCTCTCCTTTTCCCCATCCTTCATCTTCTCTCACCCTAATCTTTCCTCCCTCTCCTCTTCGTTTCCCTCTCCTCTCAATCTTCTTTCTCCCTTCCGTCTCCAATCGCCCTTATCCTCCCCTTTCTTCCCCCCTTCTTCTATTCGTATCCTCTCCCTTCCTCCTTCTCCCGCATCCTCTCCCCTTCGTCTCCCCTCTCCCTCCCTCCTCCTTCACCCTCTCTCCCTCCGTCCCTCCTCCTTCACCCTCCCCTTCTCCTCATCACCTCTCTCTCCCTTCTACCTTCTCCCTCTCCTCCCATCTTCCTCACATACCTCCCTGCCAGCCAGTCCCCTCAAAAAAAAAAAAAAAAAAAATGATAATAAATAAATAAATAAAATAATAAAATAAATAAATCTTACCTCCACCAACATCTCACGAACTAAACTTTTTTAATTTTCCTTTTTTTTTTCCCTCCCACAGAAGGACCCAGTCGTGTCAGCTGATCCTCGGAGACGCGGTGTGGGAGCGAGTGGAGTGCACGGAGGAGCTGCAGGTAGAAGGGAGTACCTCGTCCTTGGCCTCCGTGCTCCTCACTTCAAGACTCGAGCTGCAGGACGTCCTCGGGGCCCGTTCGGACATCCAGGAGGGCTTCTTCTCCCTCGGTGAGTTGCTTGTGCGGTTTTTACGTCTTTTTTTGTTTGTCTTATTTTTACTGGTTGTGTTTTTTAGGTTATCGTAATCTATAGTTAACGTATTTCGCTGCACTGTTAATTTTATCCTGCAGTTACCACGTTAAACTTTAATTATCATGTTACACTGTAGTAACCATGTTATCCTGCAGTAGAGAGAGACAGAGACAGAGACAGACAGACAGACAGACAGACAGACAGACAGACAGACAGACAGAGACAGAGACAGAGACAGAGACAGAGAAGGGAAGAGACGAGACAGAGACAGAGAAAGACAGCCAGAGACAGAGACAGAGACAGAGTGAAAGATACAGAGAAAAACAATGATGATCATGCTAACAGTTACCTCCTCTTGCACTGAACCCTCAGATGAGCCGCTGACGAGGAAGGAATCGCTCAGGATGGACTTGGAAAGCAGCGCCTCCTTGGCTGAGCCTCAAGGAGATCAGGTAATTTGATGGAAAATTATTCGGGAGTGAGAGGGAGAGGGAGATAGAGATAGGTAAATAGAGAGAGGGAGCGAGGGAGGGAGAGAAATTGAGAGAGAACGATGGAGAGAGAGAGAAGAGAGAGAGAGAGAGAGAGAGAGAGAGAGAGAGAGAGAGAGAGAGAGAGAGAGAGAGAGAGAGAGACGATGATGAGTGATAGTAAAGCGAGAGAGAGAGGAGAGAGAGAAATAATGATAATCATGCTAACATTAGATGGCAGGAGTAAAGTTTAGCTTGATCGTTCCATTTTTTGCGGCGTCTAGCTTGAGGTTTATCAAGGCAAGCCATCTTGACCACTGGCAAGCTCAAGCGCGACGTCAAATGTAAACAAACAAAATGGCTGCCTCGATACCTCGCCGCCCTCTATTTTTTCCTGTATATTTGGATAAAAAGAGACGAAAATAGTTGGGATGTCACTTGCAATGATACTGTATATATACTTCAACTTGTTATTAGAATAAATGTTCGGTAAAGTTGCAGAACAAGCACGTAATCTACAGATTAATTTTTGGGTTGGCGTGTGGGAGTCGAAATTTCGGATTACTTTAATCATATCTTATTTTCATATATTATTTTCTTGTAAGTGCGCTTTTGAAATAGTAATTTTAAAGTTTATAAGTGAAAGCGAAGGTAGCAAAGATGAAATTAAGTCGCTTTGCATATTAGACTGTTTGAATACGACGTCACAACCCATAAAAGGATAAATGTTTTTTTTTTTTTTTTTTTTTTTTTTTTTGTTTTTTTTACAAGATAAACCAGACGATTTTAACGGCTTCAATAACGGCCAAAAAAGACAAAAAAATGCGGCTTTATAACATGAATAAATGAGAGAGGGACCCCTTCAAAACAAAGAGAGAAATATTTATACCCCACATAAAAAAAAATTTCCCCCCCAAAAAATAATAAATAATAAATAAAAATAAATAAACCTAGTAACTGACCCCACCGAAGTCATCCTCGACACCTGACCTCTCCCCCTTGACCTCAACACCAGGACGCGTTGAAGGCCCAGCTGGAGCAGACCCTCGAGTATCTAGTGGCCTCCCTCAAGGACGCTAAGCTGCAGGAGGGTCGTCCTTTTGCCTTCGCTGGGCTGGTGAGCCTCATGGGGCGTCTCGAGGGCGACCAGCTGGAGCGACTGTGGGACGACTACCGAAGCAAGTCTGATTACAGGTGGGTGAGACAGGTGGTTGGGTGCAGGTAGTGAGACACTGATGATGATGATAATGATAGGAAAAATTATAATTATGATAATGATAATGATAAAGAAATAGTAGAAATAATGATAATGATAATGATGATAATTATAGTAAAAATTATAATTATGATAATGATAATGATAAAGAAATAGTAGAAATAATGGTAATGATAACGATAATAATAATAATAATGGTAATGATGATAATAACAATAATGGTAATAATATTAATAATAATGATAGGAGTAATAATAGTAATAATAATAATGATGATGATGATAACAATAACAACAATGATAGCAATAAAAATGAAAATGCTAATATTAGTAATAAAGATGATAATAGTTATGATAATAGTAATGATAAAAATTATGATAATGATAAAGATAACAACAATACGACAACACTTATCGTTATTGTTATAGATATTATTTCTATCATTATCCGTAGCGTCACCATCATTAGTGTTGTCATTATCATCATTATTATATTAATTGTTCTTACTGTCATGAATATCATTGTCGCTATTATCTTTATTATTATCATCATCATCAATATTATCATCGCTTTATTTTTCTTCTTGTCAACATCACTATCAATATTATCATCAAATTTAACCTCAGTTATTACCATCATCATCTATTATACCATCATTGTTATCTTTATCATCACCATCATCAATATCATCATTATTATCTCTTCTCACTACCATCATCATCATCATTACCATCGCTTTTATCTCCATCACCCATACCATCATCACTATCATATTTATTCTCATCATCACCATTACCATCGTCATTATCATAATCATCACAATCATCATCACCGTTATCTTTATCATCATCTTAACAACCATTACCATTACCACCATCATTCTCATCACAATCATCATCACCATTATCTTCATCATCATCACCACCATTCTCATCACAATCATCATCACCATCACCACCAACCATTACCATCACCATCATCACAATCATCCCCATTATCTCCATCACCATCCTCATCCTCATCACAATCATCATCACCATCACCACCATTCTCATCACAATCACCACCCCCATCATCTTACCCTGACCCCTGACCCCCCTTCCTTCCGTATCCTCCGCAGAGAGTTCTTCCTGGACGGCCTCACCTCCTGCGAGCGCGAGCAGTGCGTCCGCCTGGTGGCCGCCCTCGCCCAGGAGGACACGGCCGCCCTCCCCGACAGCCGCCTCAAGACGTGGCTCGCGGGCGTCCACTTCCACGCCCACGCCGACCCGCTCTCCCTCCAGCACGTCATGGTACGGGCGGGTGTCTGTTGTGTTTGGGGTTGCGGGAGGGGGTGTGGGAGGATGGGTGTATGTGGACCAACACGCACACGCACACGGATACGCACACGCACACGCACACACGCACACGCACACGCACACGCACACGCACACGCACACGCACACGCACACGCACACGCACACGCACACACTCACACACACACACACACACTCACACACTCACACACACACACACACACACACACACACACTACCTACTGATATATATATATAATATATAATATATATATATATTATATATATTTTTTTTTTTTTTTTTTTTTTTTTTTTTTTTTTTTTTTTTTTTCTTTTTTTTTTTCTTTTTTTTTTCTCTTTTCTTTTTTACCTCCAAGACAAAGCTCATCAACCAATCTCTCACCCTCCTGCAGGACCTCGCGAACTCCTACACGGACGTCCCCAGCAGCGTCCTCCTGGCGGCGTCGAGCATGGTGCACCGCCTCTGCCGCGACGACCCCCTCCAGTGCCGCTCGCAGGCGCAGTGAGTACGAGGGTGGTTCCTGTAGGGGAAGGCTAGGTCAGTAGCAACTCGAGGAGGTGTCATGGCGTCCGTTTTGATGATTTCAGTGGAGATATAACCATTAAAACAATTATTTTCCATCCTTTTTTTAAAACTGGAGAGACTAAAATGATCGATCATATTCACAAAGCATCCGTAACTTTTGTGACGTCATCAAAATAAAC